TCTGCCGTGTCACACGGGGCGCCCATATCGAACATCTCTGAAGGTGAGACAAAACTTTGATAGTTTATCTGTCGCTACGTAGCTGTAGTTTGGTTACAATAAACATACATTCGTCTAAAATTAATTTTCTTATTGGCCTATTCATTTTGACTAACCCTGTACTTTAAAACATTCCAAAATGCAAACCTTGATTTTGCCATTTAACACAAGACAATGGCTCGGTACTATGGAATCATGGGAGTTGTAGTTTTACGGGGTCTTTTGCTTTCTCTGCCAAAAAGTGCTGGTGTCTCACAAAACTACAACTCCTACAATTATTATATTCATTTATATCCTGTTTTTCCCTCAGAATCAACTCAATGTAGCTCACAGTAGAAAAACAAAAATGCAGTTAAAGAATACAAAAAGTAAATATTTGACAAGGATTAAACAACTATATTTCTTTGATTCTAAGATGTGCTTCCCGGCCCCATATAAACATATCTAAAAATGAGTTGCACTTTAGAATCACATGTGGTTTTTCATATATATAAACAAAGTGGAATATACATAATAATAGTAATACTAATAATACCTCACTACCTCTGAGGATGCTTGCCATAGATGCAGGCAAAACGTCAGGAGAGATTAAAAAAAACTACAACAACCCAATAATAATAATAATAATAATAATAATAATAATAATAATAATTCCATAATTTAGAATGCTGGGTTTGCTGTAACATTTGAACTATTCTAAAAGAGCTTTTCAACTTTTATAACTGCATTCTTTTATCTGGATGTGAATTGCTTTAAAATTGCAAATAATTTAATTCTATTTTAATGTTTATATTTTACATGTTTTAAGTGCATTCTTTTTTAAAATTGTGAGCCACTTCTGAATCTCAATTTTGAGGGTGAAATCAAGATACAAATGAATATAATAGTGATGTAACAATAATTCACACATTCACATTCCAGATTGTGGTATTGTTTGAAATGAGCTTTTTCTTTCATAATCGCACATTATTCTTTCAGTTGATCTTAAAATTTTAAATAGTTTAATTCTATTTTAATATTGACTTTTAGTATTTTAAATGCATTTTTCTTTTAAACTTAATAGTTGTGTATTTTTATTTGGATGTTAACTGTTTTAAAATGTAAATAGTTTCAATTCTGGGTTGCTGTGAGTTTTCTGGACTCTATGGCCATGTTCCAGAAGCATTCTCTCCTGACGTTTCGCCTGCATCTATGGCAGGCATCCTCAGAGGATGTGAGGTCTGTTGGAAACTAGGCAAATGATGTTTATATATCTGTGGAGTGTCCAGGGTGGGAGAAAGAATTCTTTTCTGCTTGAGGCAAGTGTGAATGTTGCAACTGTCCAGCTTGATTTAAAATACAGAATGGGGGACACGTGGCTCGAGAGCAGTATGTGTGAAAAAGATCTTGGAGTCCTTGTGGACAACAAGTTAAACATGAGCCAACAATGTGATGTGGCGGCAAAAAAAAAGCCAATGGGATTTTGGCCTGCATCAATAGGAGCATAGTGTCTAGATCTAGGGAAGTAATGCTACCCCTCTATTCCGCTTTGGTTAGACCACACCTGGAATATTGTGTCCAATTCTGGGCATCACAATTCAAGAGAGATATTGACAAGCTGGAATGTGTCCAGGTGTGGCAGGGAGCCCTGTCGGTGTGAGCTGCAGCGGGGAGTTCCGCAGTTCCTGGTTGTCACAATTGGAAGAAACAGATGAAATGTGCCCCAGCAGGCAGCTCAATAATAAGACTGCACTCAGCCTTTCTTTGCTTTCCCTTCTCCTTACATTGTATCATTCCCCTAATAAAGCACTTGAAACTTGCAACATTTAATCTTTCCGCTTGATACTTTTGTATCTTTCCTGCCTCAGACTAATTCAACATTAAAATAACCCTTTTTCCAGGCTCCGGAGAGCCGTGAGCCTGCGGGGAGGTGCCTCCAGGCACCCCCCGGACCAAGGATCTGTGTTCGCCCAATTCGCGGATACTGAAACCGCCATTTTGGACCCCAGTAACCACTAAAACAGTAACATGGCGGATTGGCGCCGTTCTAATTTTGTATTTTTCTGCTATTAATTCTAAGACTAACTGCTATCTCGCTTTCCTCATTTTGGACTCCTGCGCTCGGGGAATAATCATTTTGTTTAAAGCATTATTATCTGACAGCAAACAGCTGATTGCCAAAACTCTGCCGGCTCGGCGAAAGCAGCCTGTTTCTCCCTTGCTACCGCTCGTTCCTGCTCGGCCCTGCCATCAAGGGCTTGCTGTGGGCACCCACAGGAGGACCCGGAGAAGCGGCCAGGCTGGACCCCGGCCCCAGCACGGAAGATCTAGTTCGCCAAGGGCCAAACAATGGATTCTGTTGCTTCCTGACCCAGCGCACATAACTGGGTTCCTGTTTCCTTTTTGTGAACTCTCTGACCTATGCACTGGACTATGGACTCTGCTACTACCCAACCCAGCACCCATCACTGGGCTTCTGCCTTTTCTTATTGAACTCTCTGCTTCATGAACTGAACTGTTTGCCACATCCCTGGCCACGAACTTCCTTCTGGTGCTTGCCTTGAAATGCAAGCAGCCTCCGTTTCCACGCACCTTTGCCAAAGGACTATGAGATCTCCAGTTTGCGTTATAATAAAGATCCAATATTGTAATAAACTTTGCTTGGGATGGTGATGGGATTGCCTTATGAAATATATATATGAAATGTATGTATGTAATGAGATATCATGTAGAATGTACTGTGTTTCCCCTCCTCCTCTTTGACCCCTGCCCCCCAAAGGAATGTGACCTGAGGATTACTGCGACAGGGAGGAAACCCTTTGTCCTCCTGAAAATGGTTCATATTTACATTTGCATGGGCCCGTGATTGATTCCTTCCCGACCCTGACTTTCAGAGCAGACAGTGAGGGGAGGGGAAGTCAACAGAAACTCAGGAAGAAAAGACTGATTGAACCATCTTTGATATTGTTGATCCCCCCTTATTTGAGGTCCAATATCGCCAAAAACTTCTTTTCATACTTCCTCCCAAATCCCATCACAGACCAGGAAGCTCATTGTTCCCCTATCTGACACCCCGCCATGTGAGAACAAAAGCCTCACATTCCAACTGGCGGATGCCCTTAACAGCTGTCATATCCTCAGTCTTTGTTAGGCTTTGTCCCGCCTCCTGGCTGCCGATTGGTCCATCTTCCGAGGCACTAGGAAGGCGCTGATTGGCCCCCTAGAGGCAGCGGAGCCCGCTGATTGGGCAGGAGGCGAGGCGTGCCGCCAAGCCTCCTCCCAGCTGTTCCGCGGCCAGCCAATCAGGGCGAAGCCGGCCGGCAGAGGGCGGGCGGGATTTTTGAAACTGTTTCCCTTTGTCTGTGTACTATAAAAATGCTTGGAAATTCTGTAAAATCATGCTTGCAGTGGAATGATTCCTGCAATGCATCTGATCTCAGCTGAATCACAATAAACCTCGGTTGCTGAAAAACTTCTTCCACTTGGATGAGGCATTATTATTGGTAATATTTTTACTCTTTGGATTGGCTCTCGCTGGCCTCACCAAGGGACCCAGAGCCCTTTAGGCGCGGTCCTCGGGTTTCTCTCTCTCAAGGAGACCCCACTAAAAGCAGCTCGATATCACAGAGGAGGGCGATTAAAATAATCAAGGGTCTGGAGAACAAGCCCTATGAGGAGCAGCTAAAAGAGCTGGGTATGTTTAGCCTGAAGAAGAGAAGGCTGAGAGGAGATATGATAGCCATGTATAAATACGTGAGAGGAAGCCACAGGGAGGAGGGAGCGAACTCGTTTTCTGCTGCCCTGGAGAATAGGACAATGGCTTCAAACTACAAGAAAGGAGATTCCATCTGAACATGAGGAAGAACTTCCTGACTGTGAGAGCCGTTCAGCAGTGGAACTCTCTGCGTGGTGGAGGCTCCTTCTTTGGGAGCTTTTAAACAGAGGCTGGATGGCCATCTGCCAGGGGTGATTTGAATGCAATATTTCTGCTTCTTGGCAGGGGGTTGGATTAGATGGCCCATGAGGTCTCTTCCAACTTTGATTCTATAAAGTCATAGGGAGGAGAGAGCAAACTTGTTTTCTGCTGCCCTGGAGACTAGGACAATGGCTTCAAACTACAAGAAAGGAGATTCCATTTGAACATTAGGAAGAACTTCCTGACTGTGAGAGCCGTTCAGCAGTGGAACTCTCTGCCCCGGAGTGTGGTTGAGTCTCCTTCTTTGGATGCTTTCAAACAGAGAATCATAGAATCATAGAATCAAAGAGTTGGAAGAGACCTCCTGGGCCATCCAGTCCAACCCCCTGCCAAGAAGCAGGGATAGTAATCTGTTGGGGGTGCTTTGAATGCAATTTTCCTGCTTCTTGGCAGGGGGTTAGACTGGCTGGCCCATTAGGTCTCTTCCAACTCTATGATTCTTTGATTCTATGATTGAACGGCCTTGCAGCTTCAAAGACTGGCTGCTTCCTGCCTGGAATTCTATTTCAATATTTCTACTGAACTGCATTAAAAAAATTAGGAGACACTTTGAGTCCCAATTTTTAAAAAATCAGCAAGATATTAATGAACATGAACGTAATAATAACAATAATAAAACCTCTTCATAAATGAGGAGTCCAGCCTTAGGACAACCAACAAAAAAGTAAGCTTCTTGCGGCGATTGGCTAGCTCCGTTCTGCTGCAAATAACTGACACAAGGCTGGGCCTATCAGCACAAAGAGGGCGGAGCGAAGGCGGGCCTTCCCTTTCAGCGCCGTCTGCAGAGAGGAGTAAAGCCACGTCACAAAATTGAAAGGAGGAGTGGGCGGGGCGACGAAACCAGAGGGAGGCGTGGCTTCTTCCCGGCGTACCTGTATAGGACTGCGCATGCGCCTTCGCGTCTACCCGTTGGTGCGACGGGTTATGCAAAGTGCGTCCAGGCCGCCAGCCAATAGCGGTGAAGGAGGCGTGGCGGAGTGCTCGCGCGAAAGGTTCAGAGGTGAGCCAGGGAGGTAGGGATGGTGGCCGAGTGGGGACAGTTTTATTCATAGTATTGCTGATTTGTGAGGGAGGATGTTGTCTTCGTAGCCGGAGCAGCTGCTGGCGTTGTAAGGCGAAGGCCAAGAAGAGGCTCCCAACCCCGTGCGTATCCTATTCCCCTTTCCCCAGCCTTGTAGTATGTTTGAGGAGGCCCCTTAGTTCTTTAGACTGTATACCAGGCATGGGCAAACTTGGGCCCTCCAGGTGTTTTGGACTCCAACTCCCACAATTCCTAACAGCCGGTAGGCTGTTAGGAATTGTGGGAGTTGAGTCCAAAACACCTGGAGGGCCAAGTTTCCCATGCCTGTACAGTACTTTTAAAAATCCACCATAGGTTTTGTCCACATTGTCAAACTAATGCGTTAGCACCCACTTCTAAGTACCACTTTGCTTCATTCTAATCTCATTTCCAATTTGCAATTTCATCTTGTTCTTTAATCAGGTCATATTTACTCTTGACCAGAAGCAACATTTAGAATTCTATTAACAAATGTTTTATTACTGTTAAATATTTTTCATGTGCAAAACATGTCACAATCTTTTTATGTTCTTGCTATTTTTTCTTCTAAATTCTTACCAAGCATTATTGTATTTAATGTATTGTTGAAGGCTTTCATGGTCGGAATCACTGGGTTGTTGTAGGTTTTTCAGGCTATATGGCCATGTTCTAGAAGCATTTTCTCCTGACATTTCACCTGCATCTATGGCAAGCATCCTACCTCTGAGGATGCTTGCCATAGATGCAGGCGAAACGTCAGGAGAAATGCCTCTAGAACATGGCCATATAGCCCGAAAAAACCCACAAGAACTGAGTGATTCCAGCCATGATAGCCTTCGACAATACATTGTAATGGTAATTTGGAAGGATTTTGCAAAAGAACATTGGAGAAACCCCTATTTTTATTTTATTTTTTTGTCGTGTCAGGAGCGACCTGAGAAACTACAAGTCGCTTCTGGTGTGAGAGAATTGGCCGTCTGCAAGGACGTTGCCCAGGGGACGCCCAGATGATTTTGATGTTTTATCATCCTTGTGGGAGGCTTCTCTCATGTCCCCGCATGAGGAGCTGGAGCTGATAGAGGGAGCTCATCCGCCTCTCCCCGGATTTGAACCTGTGACCTGTCGGTCTTCAGTCCTGATAGCCTAAACGCCGTAAAGCAGGCATGAGCAAACTTGGGCCCTCCAGGTGTTTTGGACTTCAACTCCCACAATTCCTAACAGCTGGCTGTTAGGAATTGTGGGTGTTGAAGTCCAAAACTCCTGGGGCCCCCAAGTTTACCCATGCTTAATTTATACTGAACCTTGTACACATCTCTTGGAGATAATTTTGTATACCGGTAATACTTTTTAACAATTTTATCAGTGAAATCCTGGCTCTGGGATCAGGCCTTTGTAGGTTAAACTGACTTGATGGCAAAGCTATGGTTTTAACGGACTCTGATGGACTGCATATAGGACGACTTAAATTGGCAATTTTTAAAAATGTTTTTACAATGTTTTATACTTTTTTTACTTGATATGTATACCTATGTTTTCTGTTTGAGTCCCTCTGCGGAGGTTGAGATAGGACGGGATATAAATGTCATAAAGAAATAAATTGATTTTATGTGTATATTGAACCCTCAGAAAGCGAAGGTCTCTTTCCTTGCATAAGAAAATCAAATGAAATTCATGATGTCTCCATATGTTGACAGGAAATTTGAATTCTAATAATAATAATAATAATAATAATAATAATTGTCTTGTTTATGCCTCCCTGAAAGTAAGTCCCATCAAATTTGATGGAAATTATATATAGACAGACAAATGTAAGATTTCACAACTGTCTGCTGGAACCTTCCTCAGAAAGTACTTAGTGTCATATATTTATTTAGAAAGGAAACAAAGCTGCCGGTAAGGAAGCAAAATATTGTGTTGTAGCTTTGTGAGATAGAAATAGGACTTCTGAACCATTCTTAACATATTAAAAGTTTATTGAGAAGCTCTAAAAGCAGGCAAATGGTTACATGAGTTTGCTTAGATTGACTTTACATTGTTCAATTTTTTTGCTTTCTCCTAAGATGTTGTATATTGTATTTAGTAGGCACTTTGCTTTTAAAAGTGGGGCATACATGTCAAAATATTAAGCTTTTGAAAATGAAAATAAACATAGCTAAGCCTTACAAATTTGACTGATAAAATATGAACTGTCCACTTTCCTAATCACTTTTTCCTGTTGTTGTCATGAACCATAAATTCCTTTGTAGAAAACCAAGGTACATGCATAAGAACATCAATTTTGTTCCATGAATAAAATAACACACAGGATAGTAGAAAAGTCAACTCATGGAGACAGCTGTTACTAGGAAGTTTCCTAACCTGTCTTCCCTCTGTTCCTATCAAAATACACACCAGCTTTAGCTAAATTTGACTGCATTGTAAAATTAAGGTTTTTTTAATGTGTGTTATTTCTTTCTTTCTTTTTTTCCTTATAATTGTATTATTATCCCGGCTGTTCAGAAAATCAGTCCCAAGTTCCTTTATTGACTGGACTGGCCAGTGGGTAAGTAAATATATTTAATAAGCAATGCTCCATGTAATGAAAGGAAAGAGTGAATATAACCAGAATTTTATTGTTGAACATAAATGCATGGCCTTCTTAGTTTAAACATTACTTTGGAAACCATTGACAAATTTGGAGACCATTTGTTAATTGTCTCCAAAGTAAATGTTCAAACTGTGAAGGTTTGTGGACATGTCTTGCAAAATCACAAATCAAAGTTCAGGTAAATAGAAATAGCTAACGTGTTATCTAATGTGAGTTAAACAGCTCCCTTGTGCTGTGTTGAGGGAGGACCCTCTGACCTTTCAGGTATTTTGGCCTACAACTCCCATCCGCCCCTGGCAGCATGGCTAATTGTAAATGTTTGAGGGCGTTCTAGGCCAAAACATCTGGAAGCCCAGAGACTCACTTGATCTTCCATGGCAACATTCCAACTCCTTTAGCTGAAATGGCTAGAAATATATTATTCACCCCACCCACTGGCATGTTTTAGGATCTAGTTCACATCAGGCACAAATGATAGTATTTTTCCAACTGAGCACAAATGTTTGGAAGATGAATTCTGTTTCTGGCCACACATGTAATGAGCAACAGCTGTTCTGTATGAATTGGTTGAGCGGAAAGGGAAGATAAAAGCTGGTCTGATTTTGTGTTGTGACATCATTAAACAAATGTACACGTAGTGTTCAAACTTTTACAATCCATTCTCTTATCTCGAGAAACTTGTTGTCATTTCATCCTTATCTGAATTACTTCAGGGCAGTTGATGCTTCTTAATTGTTCAAAACATCTCTGGTCTAAATGCTTGCACACTATGAAATATCAAGAAATAAATAAAAAATAAAGTACTTGAACTTAAAACGTTAAAAATATAGTAACCATAAATTATTTGATCAGACGTCATAATATGGAAAAATACATGAACCTGTAATTAATATGTAAGATTGACTCTTATGTGTTGGATGGAGTCGCACTCCCCCTGAAGACGCAGGTTCGCAGCTTGGGTGTGATCCTGGACTCATCGCTGAGCCTGGAACCCCAGGTTTCGGCGGTGACCAGGGGAGCATTTGCACAGCTAAAGCTTGTGCGCCAGCTGCGCCCGTACCTTGGGAAGTCTGACTTGGCCACGGTAGTCCACGCTCTGGTTACATCCCGTTTAGACTACTGCAACGCTCTCTACGTGGGGTTGCCTTTGAAGACGGCTCGGAAGCTTCAACTAGTCCAACGCTCGGCAACCATTATTCTAACAGGAGCGGAACGCAGGGAGCATACAACCCCCCTGTTGCGCCAACTCCACTGGCTACCGATTTGCTACCGGGCTCAATTCAAAGTGCTGCCGTTGGCCTTTAAAGCCTTAAACCAGGGGTCCTCAAACTAAGGCCCGGGGGCCGGATGCGGCCCTCCAAGGTCATTTACCCGGCCCTCGCACAGGGTCAACCTAAGTCTGAAATGACTTGAAAGCACACAACAACAACAATCCTATCTCATCAGCCAAAAGCAGGCCCACACTTCCCATTGAAATACTAATAAGTTTATATTTGTTAAAATTGTTCTTCCTTTTAATTATTGTATTGTTTTAAGTGTTTTTTGCACTACAAATAAGATATGTGCAGTGTGCATAGGAATTCATTCATTTTTTTTAAATTATAATCCAGCCCTCCAACAGTTTGAAGGACTGTGACCTGGCCCTCTGTTTAAAAAGTTTGATGACCTATAAAGCCCTAAACGGTTCTGGCCCAAATTACCTATTCGAACTTATCTCTGCCTATCAGCCCGCCAGGACCCTAAGATCTTCTGGAGAGGCCCTGCTCTCTATCCCGCCTGCTTCACAGGTGCGGCTGGCGGGGACGAGAGACAGGGCCTTTTCTGTGGTGGCCCCCGGCTGTGGAACGCCCTTCCCACGGACATTAGACTAGCTCCATCATTAATGGTATTCCGCAAAAAAGTGAAAACCTGGTTGTTTGAGCAGGCGTTCGAATAGTCAGTGCAATGAGTGTAATGAACATAGGAATGGAACAATGGATGACGGATCTGGATCATGTTTTTCAGTGACGAGACGCTAGTGAATGGCTATTGTTGTTAATTGTATATTATTGTATAATGTGTTATGATGTTAACTGTTTTTTATACCGTGTTATTGTAGCATTGAATTTTTGCTGTTCTGTTGTTAACCGCTGTGAGTCGCCTAAGGGCTGAGAACAGCGGTATACAAATAAAGTAAATAAATAAAATAAATAAATAAATATGTGTCCTTTTCAATGATTGGGACCAGTTCCACAATGACCTTTCTGTATCCCATTATATTATTACCGTATTTTCCCTGACAACTATGGAGTATGGTGGAGTCTCCTTCTCTGGAAATTTAAAGCAGAGGCTGGACGGCCCTCTGTCAGGAGTGTTTTGATTGTGTGTTCCAGCATGGCAGAATGGAGTTAAACTAGATGGCCATTGTGATATCTTCCAACTCTGATTCCAAATTTGCTTAAAATATCGGTGACTTGAGTATTGTACTCCATTGGGGTACCTAAAGAGATAAATAAAATCCATGGTATTAGTTTTAAACATGTTATGAGACACTTTCATTCACTTCTGATTAGACTAAAGGGGATCTCTTTAAAAGTTGAAATCGACTCAGTGTTTTCTCTGTAAATGCAAATATTAATATCCCAAGCAAAGATGCCTTTTCCATATGTCTCAAACTACATGTTTTCAGCTTTATGGAGATCTACACTGCAAACTAGGTGCTTAGCTAAAGCAGGCTATTAATCTAGCTTTTAGTTACAGCTACCCTTTTAAAAATAAAGATACGAGCAGAAGTAGTGGGAGCAATGTCTCCAAACAGATGTTGAAAAAATAGCAGGAAAAAGTAAAGGTAGAGACATGAGGTGTGTGTACTGGAGGGCTGAGGTACACAATCACAGCTGCTGTTTTAGGTGAATAAAAGTGAGGCTGCATCATTTGTAATTTCTGTTTGAAAATTGTTTTGCTGATTTTTGGCAGCAATATTAAGCATCCCAGAGATTGGGGGGTTGAAAACAAGAGGAGCTCAGAGGGTCATTGGATCATCGTAAATGTATGGGAGATTACAGTTATGTTCCTGACTGCATGAAAAGTGTCTAATATTTTACGAGTTTTAATTTCTTTCTAGAACTATGGCTGTAATGACACACCTAAAGATTTACAGGATATGGTTTCTCAGCTGCCTAGTTCTTATATCTTCCTTTATGTGTTTGGCTGAAGATCACCATCCAGGCGGCAACCACCAACCGAATGCACGTCTTGATAAGACCATGGTACAAGATAAAGAGTACGTATTCCATAAATGACATGCAGTATAAATATTGGATTGGAACTGCAAATTCTTCCAAGCAGTATAAAGTGGAGATTGTGGGCTTTTGTCTCAAGTGTTTATATGCCTGTAGAAGGCAATAGAAGTTTTAAAAGTGGTGGTTTGGGCTCCCTGGCACATAAATGCTTGAGACAAAAGCCCATAATTTTTGTCTAATCTGTTGCTTCCTTGAACATAAACTCATATTCTCTAGTCTGATTTCATACATTTCCCGACGTCCTTATCTTAGTTGATGTGCCAGTTTCTATAGGCTGCAAAAGATCTCACATTTTGGTTTTTTTTTTTCACCTAAATATTTACACATCTTAGAATTAGAGAATACTGATTTTTTAATAACTGAAATTATGATTTTAGAAATTCTAAATTCTTGGTGCATCCATTGAATAGGTCCATTCTCAGGTTCTTGGAAGCTCTTTAATCCTTGCTGTTGAATTGAGGGCAGACTAAATCTTGTCATTTAAACAAGTGTTTGGGTGATTATTTTTCTTCTGCTCTGTGGCATGTTATGAGCAGTACTTAAAGGAGGAATTTAACTTATGAAATAATTGACTTTTTCTGGCTATAAATAAAATTGACTATGACGATTAATCAAAGTCTCCATGGTTAGCAATGACATATCTTTGACTATTGAGTGTTGATATCAAGTGGCAGAAGATAAATGTTGCCATGCCCTAATTGTTAGCTCTTGAAACTTCTGCTATTTCTGTTCATGACAGAATGTTGGAAATGTATGCTTACCTCAGTTAACAAATTCGATATATTCCAGGGCATTACTTTTCTAAGAAAAAAATTGATTCCAGAGACAGAAATAACCTGAGAAAAATATTTTATTACAGCATCTTTATTTATGGCATTGTTTACTGCATACCTTGCTATAATCCAAAATTAAAAGTTTGTTTCTGTAGCCCTCCTTCAGTGCTGCTAAAAAAAAAATCCAGCCAGACAAGGAAAAAGAGGCTGGAGGGGTATAAAAAGGCTTTGTAAGAAGTAGCTTCGTTCTCAAAGGCTTTGCTAATTGAGATATGACTGTAATGAAAACTCAGGCTTCTGATGTCAATTTTCCCTGTTGTTGTTATTGTTGGCTTTTTCTCTCTACAAAGGAGACTGCCAGAACTGAACAGCTTTCACAGTCCTATGGACAAAAAGTAAACTATTATCTCAAACAGTATTATTTATTTCAAGCAGCTAATGCCAAAATGAGAACAGGCCTTTCTTTAGCACAATTATGTCTTTCTGTTGGCAGATAGGGAGTGTTGTTTAAAGGGCATTTTGAAGGAGAGTAGTGTTTCATTTGTTTTAATAGTCTATGTATTTAAGATATGAGCCATTTTGTCCTTGAATGTATCATGGTTTTAGAATATGGCAGAGTGTGGAAAATGTACTATATTGGATTATGTCCCAGAATCCCACAGCCTGCATTGATATTAGTAGTACTAACATGGGTTTCTGCCAGTTGTAGTTGTATATCTGGGACAATAGTGACAGACTAAAGGCAATCAGATCTCAGGTATAAAAACAATATTTTCAAAATCTTAGATTGTTTTATAATTGGCCTACTTTTACCACTAGTTTATATCCTGTGAAGCCCTTTCGCAGACTCTATTGACATATTAGGTCAATAGAGTGTGCTCATATTTTTTTGTTAGATGAATGCCAACTACACAAAAAAAACCCTTATTTTATTCCAATGAGCAATGATGGAGGTATATAACTCTTTGGATGGCATCCTAAGAATGACGTACACATATGTACATGCAGCTTTCATGTGTGTGTGTGTGTGTGTGTGTGTGTGTGTGTATCCCTCTTTGTATATATCTATACATGATGTGCACAGAGCTGTTTCCTAACCCTATGTGCTCCATCTAACACCCCCCACCCAAAATTAGTTGTGAAGCCTCAAGAAGAGCCATTGTGGCTAGTGAGGATGGGAGAAGTGATTAAGATGGTGGATGTGACTGGCCTGGGCAAATGATGTGGAGAGACAGAGTGTTATTTTTTACCACAAGCTGAACATGAGTCAACAGTGTCATGGGGTAGCTAAAAAAGCCAATGCAATTCTAGGCTGCATCAATAGGAGTCTAGTATCAAGATGGAGGGAAATCATAGTCCCACTCTATTGTGCCTTGATCAGAACTCACCTGGAATGACACTGTGTCCAGAGAAGGGCAACCACAATGATCAAAGGTTTTGAAATCAAGACCTATGAGGAACTGCTGAGCAAGCTGGGAAAGTTTAGCTTGGAAAATGGAGACTTTTAAGAGGGGACATTATAGCCATGTTTAAATATTCAAAAGGATGTTGCATTGAGGAGGGAGCAAGCCTGTTTTCTGCTGCTGTAGAGATGGACATGGAGCAATTGATCCAAATTGCAGGAAAAGAGATTCTACCAAAACATTAGGAGAAATATCCTGGTGCTAAGAGTTGATTTGCATTGAAATATGCTGCTTTGGAGCGTGGTGGAGGCTCCTTTGGAGGTTTCTAAGCAGAGACTGGATGCCTATCGCAGGGGTGCTTTGATGGTGTCGTCCTGCAGCGCAAAATGAGATTGGACTAGATGGTCCTTGTCGTCTCTTCCAACTGTATGGTTCTTCTATGGTTCTCTCATCCCGGACTAGAGATAAGAGCCAAAGACTCTTGTGGGCTGAGTGCAAATTTCTCTGAAAAAGCACCCAGCTCAAGGGAATTCAGGGTGAACAGAGGGTTTGCATTCACGGTATTAGAGCACATCTACAGTGTAGAATTAATGTAGTTTAGCACCACTTTAACTACCATGGTTCAATTCTAAGTTTTCATTGGAGTTTTACAAGATTTTTAGCCTTGTCTGCTAAAGTGTGTAGGAACCTCAGAAGACTAAAAATTCCTGAATTCCACGGCATTGAGCCATAGCAGTTGAAATGTTGTCAAATCAAATTAATTCTACAGTGTAGATGCATTCTTAGTATGTCTTGCTCTACAGTTTGAGATTATATGTGTGTTTTAAAGTGGTGATCGTGTTTTTTTTGCAGCCATATCATGGAACACTTAGAAGGAGTCATAGATAAGCCAGAATCTGAAATGTCACCACAAGAGCTGCAGCTTCATTACTTCAAAATGCATGACTATGATGGCAACAATTTACTTGATGGGCTCGAGCTTGCCACTGCAATAACACATGTGCATAAAGAGGTAAGCACAGTGTCTGTATTGGAAATTTAGTTGGCAGTGTCCACCAGCAGGAGGAATATGTCTAATATTTGTGTGTGTCATATATTAGTGCCATTCAATCTAAAATTAACAAGTCTGGATTATTTCCAGGAAAGATTGAATTCTAGCCTGTATATGAACCATCTATGGGACCAGTTAGTTATGATGACTTATTGATGTATTTGTTTTAGCCTAGATGATTAGTCTGTCTGCTTTAATGGTTTATTGTGTTTAATTTGAGTATTTTTAACTGTTTGTTTTAATGTTTTATTTTGTTATTCACATGGAATTGAATGTTTGCCATTTCCGCCTTTGTAAGCTGCTCTGAATCCCCTTAGGGAGAGAGGGCAGATTTATTATTATTATTATTATTATTATTATTATTATTATTATTATTACCAGTACTCACAATGTAACTTACTTGTATCTGAAAAACTACGTTCTCACTTGGCATTTCCTACGCTTGCCAGTGCAATTTTGTGGTCTGATTTCCCAGTAGGTGACCATTGAGCTGTGCTAAATCAGGGCTTCGTAAATTTTGTGACTAATGAACCCCTTTAAACCAAGTAATTTTTGTGTGGCCCAGGTATATAGGTATATTTATTTATTCTTATTTATTATATTTATTTACTATATACCCTTCCTTTCTCTACCCTGGAGGAGACTTAAGATGGCTTACAGACAGGCAATAATTCAATGCCTTAACAACAATATACAACTGAAATACATTAAAATTAAAATTAAGTACATTGAAACATTATAAGACATTACTATCACTATAAAACCATGCAATCCACAGTCGTAATCCAGGTCATTCCGGTAATCATTACACATAATTCCAGTTAATCTGTGGGAATAAGGTTCTTCTCTGAGGGCTTGATCACAGAGCCACATTTTCACACTCTTTCTGAAGGCCAGGAGGGAGGGGGCGGTTCTAATATCACTGGGGAGGGAGTTCCACAGCTAAGGGGCCACCACTGTGGAGGCCCTGTCTCTCGTTTCAATCAAGCCTGCAAAGGAGGTGGGACCGAGAGCAGGGCCTCCCCGGATGGATCTTAATCTCAGAAATGATTCATATATAAAGTAGGTTTAAAAAAATCAAACATTTACTGATAACAAATCAGCATTTGCAAGGCTTGCTAAACAGGCTGATTTTCCCTTTTATGAAATACAGCTGAAGCACTTTCTGCAGAATCCACTGTAAACACTTTACAATAGTTGATTGTAAATGTTTAAAACAGCCACTAGGCAATGTTCAGAAAATTATTTTGGACCCCAACATTGAGCTAAAAGGACCCACAGTTTAAGAAGCAGGGTGCTAGATGACTTCTCTCTAGCCATGTTTTAGGTCCTCCAGTTCAATTCTGTGATGTGCTTAAATTAAAAGTAATTTGTTTCAATAGAAGCTACTGTTATCCACTTATTACCTCAGTAAGTCCAGGAATGTATCCCCTATTGGTATAGGGATTGTATTGAGTTGGTGACTTACTGAACACAAGTGGCTTGAGATCAAGGGGTGAAAAATCCTGCTGTAGTGCTTTGAAAGAAGATCAGATTAAAACCTATTTATTATTTTTTTTATTTATTTCCAGCATTTCTATCCTGTCCTTCTCAACTCCTGAAGGGGGACTCAGGCGGCTTACACCAGCAACAATTCAATGCCGCAACATACAACAATATAAAGAACTATAACAACAATTTAAAACCATAAATAAGACATTGAGTTAAAAACAATTTAAACACTATTTTCAAACCATATAGCCATGTCCAGTCTGATTATTCATCCAAAGTGCTGTCCGAAAGCATGGTCCCAGAACCATGACTTGAGTTTCTTCCTAAAAGAAAGAAGGGAAGAAGCCGACCTAATCTTGCTAGGGAGTGAGTTCCACAGGCATGGGGCCACCGCCGAGAAGGCCCCGTCCCTCGTCCCCACCAAACGCATTTGCGAAGCTGGTGGGACCGAGAGTAGGGCCTCCCCGGACAATCTTAAGCTGCGAGGTGGGACGTAAAGGGAGATACTTTCAGACAGGTAAGCTGGGTTGGAACCTAGGCCAAGATCATGGATTTTTAGGCAACAACAGAGCTCTATCTTTGTAGCTACTTCTACCAATGGTGCCTACAAAAACAGCCATCTTAAATCGTGCAGCGCCCCAACAGAAGAGTTTCCAAGCTCTACAGATTCAGGAGATGGAAAAGGATTACTGCGGCACTCTCCTAGTCAGGTAGAAGCAACTATAAAGATAGAGCTCTATTGTTGCTCAACAATGCAGGATGTTGGCCTAAGTTTTGATCTGATATTCTCTCAATTTAGTGCTGCAGGCTTTTTGAACCCTTGCCCTCAAGCCACTTCAGTTCTGTAAATCATTGATTACAATATGATCCCATACCAATAGGGGATATATTCCTGGACTTATTGTGGAAACAAGTAGGTAACAGTGAGCCCTATTGAATTCCTCCCAATTGAAGCATACCACAGAGCCACACTGAAGGACCTAGAAAATGCCAATAGATCACATATGGCTTAAGGGCAAGGGATGAAAAATCCTGCAGCACTGGTTTGAGAGATCAGATTAAAACATTGGCCAAGATCCTGCATTGTTAGAAAACAATAGAGCTCTATCTTTATAGCTGCTTCTTCCAATGCTATCCACAAAAGCAGACATCTGGAGCCAGGCAGCATCCCAACTGAAAAGTTTCCAAGCTCTGCAGATTCAGGAGATGGGAAAGGATGGCTGCAGCACTCCCAGCCAGGTAGAAGTAGCTGTAAACATAGAGCTCTATTGTTGCTCAACAATGCAGGATCTTGGCCTAGTTTTAAATCCGATCTTCTGGGTTGCTGTGAATTTTCCGGGCTGTATGTACATGTTCTGGAAGCATTCCGTCCTGACATTTCGCCCACATCTATGGCAGGCAGCTTCAGTGGTTGTGAGGTCTATTGGAAACTAGGCAAGTAATGCCTTCGTTGTCTCTACCGTATACTATGCAGCTGTAGACAAGTCTATATAGGGTCCACCAAACACAGCAAATCAAGGAATATGAAAGGCACTGCAGACTAACTCAACTTGAGAAGTCAGCCATAGCAGAGCACTTGATAAACCAACCTGGACACAGCATATTATCTGTGAACACAGAAATGCTGGACTACTCTAACAACTACCATGTCAGACTGTAAGGGATCACGGGTTTAGGATGCGGAGTCCCTTTTCGAAGAAATCCACAGAATCCAATTGGTTCATGTAAGACACCATTTATTCAAGCTGATCAACATGAGGCGGACAGACAGCACTTCTGTTTGTGCTTTCACAGACTGTCACGCCCCCTTGGCTTTTGTACACCGTTATATACTCAAGTAATACAAGGGTTTTTTGGTCATGGAAAGTACTCTTTTCAGCCCCCCTCCCTTGACCTTTTGATGGAAAGTACCTTCTTGTACCTGTAGACTCTGCGCTTAAGCGCAGCCTTTGCACTTAACCACAACCCAACTTCCTATGAAAGCTTGAACTTTGTATGACCTACATGATGCCTCTTGTTTTTAAAACATTTTCTTCCATGTATATTTCTCTTTTGTTGTTAATTTCATTCAAAGCCCCTTGCTTAGCATTTGCAAATTTCACTCAAAGACCTTTCAAGACTACATAGAGAAGCCCCTGAAATCCACAAGCATATGGACAGTTTCAACATAAAGGAGGAAACAATGAAAATGAACAAAATCTGGCTACCGGTATTTTAAAAAACTCAAAAATCAGAACAGTAAACAATGAGAAACACTCAAACAGGGGAATTCCAGACAAAGATCAATCGGGGCAAGCTAACACCTCCCAACAAAGGACTCCCCCCAGGCAGCAATCAGTCAGGCAGACGAGAGTTCTTTCTCCCACCCTGGACATTATTCCACAGATATATAAACCCCACTTGCCCAGTTTCCAACAGACCTCACAACCTCTGAGGATGCCTGCCATAGATGTGGGCAAAACGTCAGGAGATAATGCTTCTGGAACATGGCCAAACAGCCTAGAAAACTCTCAGCAACCCAGTGATTCTGGCCATGGAAGCCTTCAACAATCCGGTCTTCCCTCAAAGATTCTTCAGGTCTTGATGCAGTTACTTGTCTCAACACACCCCATGCCTGGGAGAATGACTTGCTTTAATAGGCTGGTTCTTTTTGTTAACAACCATAAACATGAATGTCATGTTTATGATCATTCGCCTGGTTTACAATCTTGTCATCACTGAACATGGTACCAACCCTAATGTCATGTAGCTTTTGACTCCAGATCTGCTTTGGCTCAGTCAGGTTTTTCTTTCCTTCATTGCCTGCTTTCTAGCAAAGTTCATACTTTCTTAAAGCATCCCCCAGAGAAGCGTGACTTGTGATTTTGATATTTCTCACGGATATTTTGCTCTGTTCAACCCATTCACTTTGCTTTTCTTGTAGGAAGGAGGCGAACATACTCCGACTATGAAAGAAGAGGAACTCATTAGCTTGATAGATGGTGTCTTGCAAGATGACGATAAGAACAATGACGGATACATTGACTATGCTGAATTTGCAAAGTCACTGGAATAGCAATAATTTTTCCCTTCTTGTGACCCAGTACAATGTGATTCTTTACTTTACAGTTGTATGGTCTATCCTTTGGGCTGCAAAATGAGTGAGTTGAGTAATATAGTTTGATGAATCACTAAATACGTCGGAGAGCAAACGTTAGGTTATAATGGGAGTTGTCTCATACTGTCGTCATAGTGAACTATGTTGAGCATTGGCCCTCATAGGAGATAATTTGCAAATTGGCTTAAATACTTGTTCAGAAGGCTGTTGTGAAACTAGTTTAACTCCTGATTAATTTTGGGAGAAACCCAGTTATCATTAAGTATAAATATTGAAGGACTTTGGTCTGAAATCTAATTGTGAGGTAAAGTGAATAGTATAATTCGATGCATACTCTCGCTTTTGAATTTGCTGCTCACTTCTTTTCAAAAACGAAGGCAAAGCCACATGCAAGAAAAAATAGTCCTCTCTAAAGGGCGAAATCCAATTGTCAATGTTCACTGGAATAGACTGAAAATGAAACTTAAATAAATGATGACTCTTATTGAGTCAGTTGGTCTTGCTCTGGTAATTACTGATATTTGTTTTAGCCCAAAATCTGTTGATGGTGTTGAAAAGGTTATATACTTTATTAATTCTCCATTAAAATGGATGTGGATGTAAACGTGCTTAGAGTTTGATGTGTTGTGGAAGGCTTTCATGGCTGCAATCACTGGGTTGCTGTGAATTTTCCAGGCTGTATGGCCATGTTACAGAAGCATTCTCTCCTGACGTTTCACCCACATCTATGGCAGGCATCCTCAGAGGTTGAGGAGTCTATTGAAAACTAAACATGTGAGGTTTGTATATCTGTGGAATAATGCCCAAGGTGGAAAAAGAACTCTTATCTGTTTGAGGCAAATGTGAATGTTGCAAACTGGCCACCTTGATATTGCAGCTTCAAAGCCTGGCTTCTCCCACCCTGGACATTCCACAGATATATAAACCCCACTTGCTTAGTTTCCAACAGACCTCACAACCTCTGAGGATGCCTGCCTTAGATGTGGGAAAAATGTCAGGAGAGAATGCTTCTGGAACATGACTATACAGCCCAGAAAACTCACAGCCACCCAGTGCTTAGAGTTTGTCTGCATTGTTTCTTAAATACCTAAAAATATGTATACCTGTATATCCACATATCTGTTTTTCAGGTGTCATCCTGGAATTCTACAGAGTTTTGTTCTACACTAAATTATTATTAGAGAATTGGGATTTGTTAATGTGAAGTATATGTATACATAGGTATACACGTGCTTATTGTTGCTTGCGTTATATCATCAATACAGTATTTTTCATTTTCAAAAAAGGTAGGTTAACTAGTACTGTTGGTGAAGTCCTTCACTATTACTCCTTTGTTTACCTAATTGAATTTTATAATCACAATCAAATGCTGCCTTGTTAAGGTTCTCATCAATGTACCTTGACTTGAATTCATGGTGTTAACTATGGAAATACTTTGTATTTTTTTCTAAAACTCTTTAAAGAGTGTATTTGAATACTTGAATATCTGCTTATTTAAAGTAGCTCAAGAACTATCTACAGCTTTTGTTTCAGTAGAGTGCAGTAACCCTTTGCAGATCCAAAAGTCTTATGTTTTGATGTCTGAGCTGTTGTATAAACCAGATCAGAAATTATACATGTATTTAATCAGGTACATCATATTCACAGACAAACCCCCCATATGCTCTCTGTAAATTGTATAGAGACCTATTTTCTGTATTAAAACTATTCTTATATGAAGTGTGTTTGTAAAAAAAATCCTTTGTTAAGTGTGCAATTTAAAAAAAAACCTTGATTGTTCTATATTCTTACACAGTGTGCTTATTGCCTCAATAAGTGATAACTGTAAAAATAATGTAATTCAAAGCACCCAGCATTGTGCAAACCTGGTAGAAATTAAGTGTCATTACAAGTGTGGATGTTCTTTTTTATGTGCTGCAGGAATTGGCATTCCCTTCCTCTCTGACCAAAGTGTCCTTCCTGACTTACTTTAAAGCTTTCTTTCTGTTTAGCTTTCATACATACTCAGTAAGAGATTCTGGAGACAGCTGCTGTTTGCCTTGACTGCTGTAGGCAGGTTGACATAGCTACAGTAGTGTCAGCTCCACTAATTTGAATTCATTTGGATTCAAGTAGTGGGAAAAGAGATTGCACCTAAACATTAGGTAGAACTTCCAGATGGTAAGAACTGTTCAGTAATGGAACTCTGCTTTGGTATCTTTTTGGAGGTTTTTAAACAGAGGCTGGATGACCATCTGTCGAGAGTGCTTTGATGAGATGTTCCTGTATGGCAGAATGGGATTAGACTGGATGGCCCTTGTGGTCCCTTCCAACTCCATGATTTCAAAATATTGCTGTTTCGCAGCCCAGGCTTTATCTATGCATTGTTTATTGCAACTTTTATCAACCTGGAGACCGAGATCCCTGGGGGAGAGGTGGGGGGAGTTGTAAAAGGGTTTGCCAAAGACTATCAGGAAACACAGTATTTTCTGTTGGTCATGGGGGTTCTGTGTGGGAAGTTTGGCCCAATTCTGTCAGTGGGGTTCAGAATGCTTTTTGATAGTGGGTGAATTATAATTCCCAGCAACTATCTGGACATCTGTCTGGGATGCTTTGATCGTGCATTTCTCCATGGCAAAATGGGGCTGGACTGGATGGCCCTTGGGGTATCTTCCAACTCTACGATTCTGTAAGCAATCTATAAAAAAATAAATAAAGTGTTGTTCATTTGTGAGATTAACATAACTCAAAAACCATTGGACGAATTGACACCAAATTTGGAAACAATATACCTATCAGGGCAACAAGTGACCATCACTCCTAAAAATACTGAAAAACACAGCAGAGGAGACTTTAAAAGCCAAAACATAAAAATACATTACAATGCATGTGAAAAAAACATATATATATACACATATACACAGTCTGGGCCACAGCAACGTGTGGCAGGGGGACATCTAGTCTATCTAAATAAAAATGTAATGTTTGTTTGTGGGATTAACATAACTCAAAAACCACTGGATGAATTGACACAAAATTTGGACACTACACCCCTATCAGGCCAACGAGTGACCATCACTCAAAAAATACTGAAAAACACAACAGAAGAAACTTAAAAAGCCAAAAAACAAAAAATACATTACAACGCATGTGCAAAACCACATATATAAACAAACACACATATACACATATATACACACACAAAACACATATACACAGACTGAGCCACAGCAACGCATGGCTGGGGACGGCTAGTAAATATATAAATGAATTTTTAAATGAATGTCAAAATATATACTCTGTAGCCACTAGATGGCATGGTTGATCACTTGTTTTTTAAGCTTTCTGAAATTAGAACAAATTGAGTTTGCGTGTGAGTTGTGTGTGAGTTGTGTTTTTAAATAAAAACACACTTAGGTCCCTGCTTCATCACCTTTGGGGATTACAACAGGGCCAGATTATCTCTGTCTAAGATCTCTCAGCCTTTCTTTTATTATGAAAATGCACTGATGTCAGCAAAGGGGCATTGAGAACTCTCTCTGCTAATCATCGCATGAAACACGCCACTCTTCTGTTAATGATTCTGTCATTAAACAGGCCAAAACTCTTCAAAATCACTCAGCCTTGCCAAGACTAATAGATGAAGCCAAACACTTTGTCTGGGAGCCAAGGCTCTGACAAGCTTCGAATGCGATTTTCCTGCTTCTTGGCAGGGGGTTGGACTGGATGGCCCACGAGGTCTCTTCCAACTTCCAATGATTGTATGATATATTTTTAAAATGATCTTTTTTCTTTTCCTGGAATCACTAAAACACCTTTTCCTTCGATCTCTTCCCTGTCCCCTCATCAGTGACATTTTGAGAAGTTACGATTGAATGGTTTTCAAAATTACAGGAAAGGAGATTCCACCTGAACATGAGGAAGAACGGAAGAGCTGTTCAACAGTGGAACTCTCTGCCTTGGAGTGTGAAGGAAGGGAGGCTTTAAAATCACGGTTGGATGGCTATCCGTCGGGGTGCTTTGATTGTGCTTTTCCTGCATGGCAAAGGCTTGAAATGGATGGTCCTTGGGGTCTCTTCCAACTCTATGAAAGGAAATCTCTGTGATGGACATATGGTTAACCCTCCACATTCACTGGGGTTAGGGGCACAGGACCCCTGGGAAAGTGGAATACTGTGAATGCTGTAAAAATGGGGGTTTTTTAAAACCTGAGAGTATATATCTCAAGGAATTTCTACGTCCTCCAGCACACATCTATGATACATTCGGCTGAAAGCTGATGATAGAATCACACCAGAGGACCTAAACATTGCTAGAGAGAACATTTTAATCAAATCAAGGAAAATCAAACTTGCAAATGTGGAAAACTGATTCAACAATACAACCTCCGTATGCACAGAACCGACATACATGGTTTCACTTACCCACAGTTTTCACCCATTCACTTAAGGCCTCAATATTAGCTCCCCAACACTGTGGGTTAAAGCAGTTAGTGGAGGTAGGAGGCTGTTTGTAGTAGTAGTAGTAGTAGTAGTAGTAGTAGTAATAATAATAATAATAATAATAATAATAATAATAAACTTTATTGAAGCAGACACCCCTGCCACATACACATTTTCACTTTTATTGTGCGTACTAGCTTGGGTTTTGTTTTTGTTTTTTTGTGGTCGTGTCAGGAGCGACTTGAGAAACTGCAAGTCATTTCTGGTGTGAGAGAATTGGCTGTTTGCAAGGACGTTGCTCAGGGGACGCCCGGATGATTTGATGTTTTTATCATCCTTGTGGGAGGCTTCTCTCATGTCCCCGCATGGGGAGCTGGAGTTGATAGAGGGAGCTTGGGTACCTGGTGGTCCCTGGGTTATTTGAAAAGGGCATTGTTTGTTTTGGGGTAATAACAGTTTGATCACACGTTATGCTATTTCTTAGGGGGGGGGGGAAACTCCTTTGCTTTTTTTCTTATGAATGCTCCCATTAGAAAATGCATAAGGATGTGGGTGAACTACAATTTCCAAAACTCTTGGGTCAATCCTCCCCAAATTCAGCCAGTATTCACATGTTGGGTTTGTGTGCCAAGTTTGGTCCAGATCCGTTGTTGGCTGGATTAAGTGCTTTCTTGATGCAGGTGAACTACAATTCCCATATGCCAAGGGCAATCGCCCATGTATGTACACTTGGCTGTGTTGGATGTGTGTGACACGTTTGGTGCAGATCCGTCGTTGGCTGGGTTCCATGCTCAGTGGATAAGGGTGAACTATAACTTCCAGATCCAAGGTCATTCACCCCCAAACCCTGCCTGTATGCAGTTGGCCATATTGGATCTGTGTGGCAAGTTTGGTCCAGATACGTTATCGGCTTGGTTCAGTTGTCTCTGAATAAGGGTGAACTACAACTCCCAGATTCCCAGGGCAATCACCTCCAAACCCTGCCAGTATTCATGGTTGGACATGTTGGGTTTGTGTACCAAATTTGGTCCACATCCATCATCTGCAGGGTTCAGTGCTATTTGAATAAGAGTGAACTATAACTCCCAGATTTCAATTTCCATCACCCCCATAGTCCGCCAGTATTCAAAGTTGGCTGTGTTGGGCTTGGGGTTTTGTTTTTTTGTTTTGTTTTTTTTTTTTTTGTTTTTTTGGTCGTGTCAGGAGCAACTTGAGAAACTGCAAGTCGCTTCTGGTCTGAGAGAATTGGCCATTTGCAAGGACGTTGCCAAGGGGACGCCCGGATGATTTTTGATGTTTTTATCATCCATGTGGGAGGCTTCTCTCATGTCCCCATATGAGGAGCTGAAGCTGATAGAGGGAGCTCATCCGCCTCTCCCCGGATTCGAACCTGCGACCTGTCCTGCTGGCACAGGGGTTTAACCCACTGTGCCACTGGGGGCTCCTGTTGGGCTTGTATACCAAGTGTGCTCCAGATCCATCATCAGCTGGGTTCAGTGTTCTTTGAATAAGGGTGAACTATAACTTCCAGGTCCAAGGTCATTCATCTCCATACTCCACCTGTATGTACAGTTGGCCATGTTGGGTCTGTGTGCCAAGTTTGGTCCTAATCCTTCATCGTCTGGTTAAAGTGCTCTCTGGATAAGGGTGAACTACAACTCCCATATGCCAAGGTCAACTCTCTTCGAACCCCGCCAGTATGCAAAGATGGCCATGTTGGCTTTGTGGTGCCAAGTTAGTTCCAGGTTCATCGCTGGTGGGGTTCAGAGTGCTCTTAGATTGCAGGTGAACTATACATCCCAATCCCCACAACTCCTATAAACCATGGTGAATTCTCCCCAAACCTTTCTCTCTAGTATGTTCAACTGCTATGTCCCATAGGAAAGAGTGTTGTTGTTCATTCGTTCAAGAAATGGTTTTCCTCCTTCAACTCCCCACTAAAACGTACTATCCTTAATGGAAGAGTGCCAATCTTTTTAAAATGTTGTTGTTGTTGTTCATTTGTTCAGTCATCTCCGACTCTTCGTGACCTCATGGACCAGCCCACGCCAGAGCTCCCTGTCGGCCGTCACCACCCCCAGCTCCTTCAAGGTCAGTCCAGTCACTTCAAGGATGCCATCCATCCATCTTGCCCTTAGCCGGCCCCTCTTCCTTTTTCCTTCCACTTTCCCCAGCATAATTGTCTTCTCTAGGCTTTGCTGTCTCCTCATGATGTGGCCAAAGTACTTCAACTTTGTCTCTAGTATCTTTCCCTCCAGTGAGCAGTCGGGCTTTATTTCCTGGAGGATGGACTGGTTGGATCTTCTCGCAGTCCAAGGCACTCTCAGCTCTTTCCTCCAACACCACAGCTCAAAAGCATCGAT